AATCTTGCTTGCTGAAAGTCAAGAGGACTTAAAATACTTTCAATGAAGATGAAAGACCACAGCCTTCGGTATGTGTGGTACATCAATGTACAGAAAACAAAAATACTCACAACTAGATCAATAAGCAACATCCATATAAATGGAGGAAAGACTGAAGTTGTCAAAGACTTCATTTTGCTTGGATCTACCATCAACACTCATGAAGGCAGCAGTCAAGAAATCAAACGATGCATTGCATTAGGCAAATGTGCTACACAAGACCTCTTCAAAATGTCGAGGAGCAAAGATGTTAGCTTGAGGACTAAGGGGCACCTGACCCATGCCATGATATTTTCAATAACCTCATATGCATGTGAAAGTTGGACAATGAATAAGGAAGACCGTAGAAGAATTGATGCATTTGAGTCATGGTGTTGGAGGAAGATACTGATAGTACAATGGACTGCCAAAAGAACAAAAAGATCTATGTTGGAAGGCATACAACCAGAATGCTCCTTGGGAGCCAGGATGGCCAAGACTTCATTCATGCTTCGAACATATTGTCAGGATAATCCAAGAAAAGGATGTCATGTTTGGTAAGGTGGAGTGTCATAGAAAAAGTGGAAGACCTCCAACAAAGTGGACTGGCACTGTGGCAGAAGTGATGAGGTCAGGGGTAGCAACGACTGTGAGGACAGGGCAGTGTTTCATTCTCTCGAGTTGGGAATGACTCAATGGCACCTAACAACAACAATATGAACAATGAGTCAGAACTGACTCGACGGCACTTAACAACAACATACTCAAGGTCCATATTTTAGTTCTGGTGGACCTGCTCACCAAGGCCCTATTTTCCAACTATTGATCCTTTCTCTTTGTTTCTTTCACATTCCAATCACCAGTAGTTATCAATGCATCTTGAGTGAATGTCTCAGACTAAAGAAATTGATAGAATTCTTCAATTTCCTCATAGAGTCGGTGCATACATTTCAATAATAGTGTTATCAATAGTTTTTCCTTTTAGGCATATTGATATTATATCACAGACAGATGATCTTGAAATGTTTTTGATGGTGAATGTGATGCCATTCCTCTTTGTCCTTCTTGACATAGTAAACCACATGACTGTCCAATTTAAAATGGTCAATACTAGTCCATTTCAGTTCACTAATACCAAGATACCAATCTTTATGTGTTCCATTTATTTCTGACAACTTAAATTTTCCTAGATTCATAAATTTCACGTTCTGATAACTAATGGATGCTTGCAGCTTTTTCTTCACATTTTGAGTTGTTCCTATGAAAGTCCCAAAAGCTTTGCTTCATCCATGTTATTAAGGTAAACTCCTACTTTGAGGAGGCAGGTCCTTCTTCTATTTTGATACTTGTAACCTGAGGGGCTCAACTTCCAGTGATGTATCAGACAATGTTATATTGCTATTCATAATGCTTTCAGTGACTAATCATTTAAAAGTAGTCTGTCTCTCCTTTTTCCTCATCTGTTCTTAGTCTGGAAACTCCGTTGAAACCCATCCACCATGGGTGCCCCAGCTGGTATTTAAAATACAGGTGGCATAGCTTCCAGCAATGTACTAGCCCCACAGTGCAATAAACTGACAAACGAGTGGTGGATGGAGATAACAGAAGACCCTCAAAATAAAAGCCAGTTGGCAACACTTAACTTTCAGAAGCAAGGTGAATTATCAAGATCTACAATCATTCTTCTTGGATCAACTATCAACACTCATGGAAACAGCAGTCAAGAAATCAAACGATGTATTGCACTAGGCAAATCTGCTGCACAAGACTTTTTTAAAGTGTTGAAGAGCAAAGATGTCAGCTGGAGGACTAAAGGTACGCCTGACCCAAGCTATGGTATTTTCAATATCCTCATATGCACATGACATCTGGACAGTGAATAAGGAAGACTGTAGAAGAATTGATGCTTTTGAATTATGGTGTTGGATGAGAATGTTGAAAGTGCCATGGGCTGCCAAAAGAACCAATAGATCCGTTTTGGAAGAAGTGTAGCCAGAGTGCTCCTTGGAGGCCAAGCTGGCCAAACTTCATCTCTCATACTTCAGACATATTGTCAGGAGGGACCAGTCGCTGGAGAAGGATATCATGTTTGGTAAGGTGGAGGGTCAGAGAAAAAGAGGAAGACCCCCAACAAGATGGACTGGCCAAGTGGCAGAATCAATGGACTCAAGCGTGGCAACAGTAGTGAGGTTGGCCCAGGATCAGGCAGTGTTTTGTTCTGCTGTGAATAAGGTCACTATGGGTCAGTACCAACTCGATGGCACCTAACAACAACAACAATCAGAGTGGCAGTAAACAAGTCCGGATTGTCAAAGAGCTAAGGAGATGGTTAGTAGCAAGATGATGTTGTTAAATGCTGTCAAGTGGATTCCAACTATAGCGACCCTGCATAAGGTTTCCAAGGACTAGCTGGTGGGTTTAACTTGCCAATCTTTCAGTTAGCAGTTCAGTGATTATACTACAACGCCACACCAGCACTCCAAGACTGGCTGCCGAAAAACTTGTTGCTATCAAGTTGATGGACTCACAGTGACCCTATAACTCAGAGGAGAGCTACATCACAGGCTTTCCAGCGTTGTAATCTTTACAGAAGCGTACTTCATCGTTTTCTAGAGAAGCGACAGGTGGATTTGAACTGCTGACCTTTCAGTTAGCAGCCAAGTGTCACCAGGATTCCATAGGCAATCAATAAGGGTATTAATCTTTAAAGCAAAATAAATCAAAGATGGACTATCAGGAGGCAAAGAGTAATTGGGAGTCCTGGTGTGGTCCTGTGGGCTAATGTATCAAACTGCCAAGTCATTTGAACTGCAAGGTCGGTCATTCAAGCTCACCAGCTGCTCCTTGGAAACCCTATACAGGGTTGCTATGGGTCAGAATCAACTTGACAGCACTTAACAACAAGGGTAATTGACCCAATAATAAATAGTGAACACTTGTCTGATTTCTAGACCTAAATCAGTTGTGACATATGGAAATCAGTATCTGAGAGGTTAAATCTCCAGAAAGTACTTAATGTTTGCCAAACATACTTCCCACCCACACTATTTAACAAGAGCCCTACCTCCTCATGAGGTCAAGGTTAGTTATGCTGGCCAGGATGGTGACTTCTTTCTTTGTGGGTTCTGGCACATAAAACTCTATCCAACAAGGTGGAGTTTTAGCATACAGTTTAATGGCACTCTTGGTTTTACATTTCCACTTTGATAGTTAAAGCAGGAGTGAAATTTATAATACTAACCATCCTCTTGCAATTCTCCCTAGAAAAGAGACCCAATGGAATCCTACAGGAGATAATCTCAGACTAGGCGGGAGCACTTATTTTACAATGTAAGTAAATCCAAATATTATAGGAATTAACTATACTAATGCTATGGCACAGTGCCCAGATCACCTCTTTCAGGGCAGAGACACTTATTTTCCAGCTGCATACAAGCAGCGAATACTGCTTACTGATGACTAGTAGCTTCATCCCTCCCCAAGAACTGTCTTTGGCCAAAGGGCAAGGAACAGCCCTCATTCAGGGATTGGCTGATAGAAGATACAAAGTCTTGGTCACTTGCCTCAATTAAGGATAACTACAAAAGGTTATCCCAGGCTACAGCTCCTGGTGGCAATGGTTACACTTCATTACAACTCTTATCTATCTTCACAAGTGTTTCTGAGATAAACTATCTGGATGCAAGTTTCCCTCTCAGAGTTTGTTTCAAGGGCAACCTGACCTAAAACAGCTAACTCAGATTTAAAAAGAAACTCATAAAACTGACAAGTTTTTAGTTTTTAATATTTTAATTAAATGTCTTTGCTGCTATATTCTCTATGGTAGATCTGCTACATGTTAATAGTCCATGCTTGGATTTATTTAATAGTTGGGGAAGTAGGACTAATCATTAGGAAATAAGATATTGGAACAATATCTACCACGTCAATTAATACCTTTCTTGTATTATAGGAAAAAGAAAAACAACACATGTACACTTTTCAAGCATTTGTAGTTATCCTCAACAAGTTGTTGTTGTTGTTATGTGCCGTGGAGTCGGTTCCGACTCATAGCGACCCTGAACAGGGTTTCCGAGGCTGTAAATCTTCACGGGAGCAGGAAGCCTCATCTTTCTCCCGCAGAACGGCTGATAGTTTCGAACTGCTGACCTTGCAGCTCACAGCCCGATTCTTAATCACTACGCTACCAGAGCTCCTTAACAAGTACTAGTCAACAATTGTTGTTGTAAGTACCACTGAGTCAGTTCCAACTCATTAGACCCTGCATAGGGTTTCCAAGGAGCAGCTGGTGGGTTTGAACTGATAACCTTGTGATTAGCAGTCCACACCAGGTCATCAATATCAAGTCACAAAACCTACCAGCCTACCAAGTTTCATTACAGCCAACTTCCTTTCACTTGGGGTACTCCTAGTACTCACAGGATAAGACAAATGGACAGTCCCTACTTCTAGGCACTAGAAACTTTTATAGAAACCTGAGTAACTGAAGAAATCATATAACCATACCTAAGTCTGAAAACACACTGCCTTAAGTAGGAAGCTTCCCTACACCCATTCATTTTAGACACAGTATAAAAGGTCAGAAAAATAATTTGGTTGGCATAAGGGTTGGCTAATGTTATGAGAGCTTCATTCATTACCACTAGCAGCTGGGATCTTTTCTCTTACCTCACTTTCCCCAAGAAAGAAAGGAAGGAAGTGAAGCGTTCATGGAAATCAGGGTCAAAATAGAGATGGTGAGATTCAGGGGCAGCACAACAAGGCTCAGAGGTTTCATCTTTATTATTCTGAGTTTGAGAACTACCGTGACCTAGCACCAATGTACAGCAGAGTTAGGAAGCAAATGCTAAGACTAAGTTACTAACTTGTACTATTTATCAAGTCTTTTTTGGCTGTATGCCACAAATTATAAAGAATAACATGAAACTGCATTAATACACTGACTGTATAGTATTCTATAAATATAGTCAAAGAAAGAATACCTGGGAAATGAGGTATGACTTCACCATCTAACTTGTAAGCAATTCCAACTTTGATTTCTGTAAACATATCCAAAATGTCCAATTTGGTAAGTGCCAACCTAATTTTGGAACAAAGAGCAATGTTAAAACAGCAAACTCATTAAGGCCTTCACATTCAATATGATGAGTGATTAAGGGAAAATCCATATAAAGCAAAAGTTCCAAAGCAATTCTGAAAACAGATTAGGATTATATTTTACAGCATGCCACATATAAAACTCTAGTGGACAATATACTGGTGTTTATTCTTCATAATTTAAAAAAGGCTCAAGTGACCTACCACTATGTTACTTTCTATTAGAAATTGTAAAAGAATGTCACTAAGTAACCCACACACTTGCGGAGCGTTTTTACAACCAATCCACACCACACTCTAGTGGGAAGGCTGCCTGGAGTTAAGGATGCATTCCTAATGGCTGTGGCAACACAGCAACACTCACTGTTCAGCATGGATTGTCACAAGCGCTCACTAGATCTAGTACATTTACAAACATGCCATTCACCCCTCCTTTATTCACTCTGGTTACCAACATTCCACCCTGTGAGGCAGAAATTTTCAAAGGGGAGTAAGGAAATCACACCAAGGACCTCTTCACGACACTTCAAAATCTCCAGATAAACTGACTGGAAAACAGGGTTTTAAAGGGAAATCTGTAGAAATTAAATAAGATACTATGTTTGAGATTCTCTTCCACAAATTAATTTTTTTATCCTTTAGTTTCATTACTTGCTAAAATTTAATGTCTAATCAATACAGACATGAGTATATTTATGTGTTTGTATTAATAACGAATTTCATTAAGCATTTTCAATGTGCCAAGTAGTGTGTTATACACATGCTTTTCACTACATTTCTCACCTATTTCTCAAAACCTCTATGTAGTGGTTAATGCTGTCACCGTGATTTGAAAGATGACAGAACGGAGAACAGAAAGATTAACTGGCTTCAAGTAACGTAAGAATAATGCATGACCCTGAACTTTGAATTCAGGGAGTCAGGTATCAAATCTATGCTCGAAATCACTCATGTATATTACCCTCCCTAATTTTCTTTCCAGTCTTAGAAGTCTAGAAAGAGAAAGATAACTGCTACCTAGACCTACAATTTTAGCTCAAAAGCCAGAGTGATTATTTTTATTTATGATACTATTTCAAGTTTCTACCCCACAAAATTAAAGCCACATTCATGAATTGTCCTATTATTTCCAGAAATAAGTGTTTCTGCAGAATACTCACGCGGTGAATCCATTAATCATGTGAGCATATTTAAGTAAAACGAGGTCCAACCAGCCACATCTTCTTTTCCTTCCAGTCGTTGCACCAAACTCTCTACCCCTTGTTTGTAATAATTCTCCAATATCCTAGGAAAGAGAAATTGGGATTAGAACACCAGTGCTAACAATCTAGTTGAAATTATACTAAAGATCATAGGAAGTGGAAACCTCTTTAAGGTGTAATGGTTAAATGCTAAGCTGCTAACCAAAATGTTGGTGGTTTGAGCCCACCAGCCGCTCTGCAGGAGAAAGATGAAGCAGTCTGCTTCCATAAAGATTTACAGTCTTGGAAACCCCTAGGACAGTTATACTCTGTCCTTGAGTCAGAATCAAATCCAAGGCACACAGCAACAACAAAATCGCTTAGAAATAATTATCAGAAGCTAACTAAATGACTAAGATGTAAGTTGAAAGAATTCCACTGAATCACTGGGTTTAATATGAGGAAGACATTAATGGAATAGATCCATTTTAGGTTTCAATTTTTACCAAAAATGTTTAACATATCATGGAGGTAACGTCTACGAATTTAAATTGACATTAATGACCAACTAAGTGTTGCATACTACAAATTAAGTAGTTAAGAAGTATTTATTAAAGTAGACAAGTTAAACAATTTATTGGAACAACAACCCTGGCTTTTCCTGACTGAAAACCATAAGTCAAATTCACATATAACAGCTATTAATACAAAGTGGTTACAACTCACCTGTTAACCAAAACATTGGCAGTTTGAACCCTCCCAGTGGTATGGTGGAAAAAAAGGCCTATCAATCTTGTTTCCATAAAGATTACAGGCAAGAAAACACGATGAAGTTCAGTTCTATTGTGTAACACATGGAGCTGCCATGAACTGGAATCGATCCAATGACAGTAGGTTTGGTTTTGGCTTTTGTTTATTACAACGCCCTTTGGAACAGAATTAAGGCTGAAAACAATGTTCAAAGATCTAATAAACTACAGTCTCTATACAATCTAATTTTCCCATCTAGGAATTGCCTATTCCCTGACTTGTACCATTCTTATTAAGGCTGTTATTTCATTGCCTCTTTTAATCTGGAATCATTATTATATGATTTGAAGAAAATGTTGATCTGACCAATCTTAGGAAGGAAGGAATATGGAAAGGCACAGGACACAAGAATTCATTTTAAATAAGCTTTGCTACATTTGAATTAGAGTTACTGTGAAACAAACTTACATTATCTTGCTCTGTAGGAAAGGCACCAATACCAACTCTAGTTGTGTAAGCTTTCAGAACTCCATACACTTCTCCCACATTTTGAGGGGGCATACCCAAACCAGTACAAACGCCTCCAACAGTACAATTTGAAGAGGTTACAAAAGGGTAAGTCCCTAAAAACAGAAACAAATATTAAAATATAAACACATACACACACACAATTTTTAAACGGAAGTACTATTAAAATTCTGCATCTGAGTATATTCTAGGTATTTGAAAGACTTGAACATAATTGTAACCATAATCTCAAAACTCAGTTTCACTCTCTTTGTCTATAAAGAGAGAAAAACATGTGTGTATGTGTTCCAACTCATAATAACCCTGTATAAGGCTACCGAGGAGCAGCTGGTGGGTTTAAACCACCGACCTTGCAGTCAAGCGCATTCTTCTGCAGTGCCACACCAGGACTCCATATATATAAAAATAAAACTGAAGTGCTTATATTGGAGAAACTCCTAGAATGTATGTACAATTATGGATTTTGCTCTCTATGATTCTCAACTGATAAACAATTTAATGCTAAAACCCTAGTGTTTATTTCACACAGAATTATCATCTGTGTATTTTAATTTATAACAAATTTATCTGAATTCAGTATTTAACGTGCATCAGCCCTCTGGAATGACAGCAATACACTGAGAATTTTGTGATAGTTTAATACTTGTCCAGTCTTCAGTGTCTACCCAAGGAACAATTTCAAAATTATACATTAAAATGTACTTTCCTTTGCCCACCAAAGATTCCCTTCACAGTTACCTAGTCACTCTGCTAATTAGGCCCTTTCTTTCCAGATTGGATAGGCATACTGTGATATCCTATGTATCTACTGAGGAGTCCTGGTGTGGCACTATGGGTTAAAGTGCTGGACTGCAAAGCTGGTTTGAACTTCAAGGTCAGTGGTTCAAGATCACCAGCTGCTCCTAGGAAACCCTATGTAGTGTCGTTATGGGTCGGAACCAACTCGATGGCACTTAACAACAACAACAACATATATCTACTATGAATTTATTTTCTTTAATTGGTTTCCTGGGGTCAAAAACCAATGAAATGCGTATCACAGTTGTCTTGACAGATCACATTTAGATAGAATGGTCAGGAAACCAATAGGGAAGCAGTTTGAAGAAGTTAAGCATTAAACCTGTAAAGAAGAAGGAAAAACTCAGGCTCTATCCAGAGAGTCTCACACCCCGGAAGTTGATATCAGGGTATACAGGCTTTCATAAATCTCAGAATATGAATGTTTAACATAAATGTATATTAATTCCTGAGATGAAAATAAAAGGATTGAATTAAAATGGAATCCTTCCATAGGAGGTGAGGACTGGAACCAAACCATGAACTAAATACGGAAAATCACAATTTTCAGAACCCCAAACCTACTAAGGCCAAATGAAAAATTTTCTAAAAACTACAATACATGTAATTATGCTTTCCGCAATATTCTTTAAAAACAGACGGGCTTACGATAAACTCCCACCATTCCTGAATATATAAACTAAGAGCTACATTAATTTTACAGGTATCTCAAGTACTTAAGGTTTCAGTCAAGTCCCCCACATGACAGAGGTCACTTACCAAAATCAATATCAAGCAGTGCAGCATTTGCACCTTCCACCAAAATTTTCTTTGGTGGTCCATGGAGGGCCTCATAAAGGAAATAAACTCCATCTTTCACCATTGGTTTAATTCTTTCCATATAACCCTATACATCAAGACAAAAACCAGATTTTAATGCATACTAATAAATTTAGGATAAGCACTGGACTGTTATCCACAAGGTTCTATACTAACTTCACAGCAAATAAATAACCAAGTACTTAAATTTTACAAAACAGGTTTCAAACAAAAAGTGACTATACTATACTGCACTTTTAAATTTTGAGGAATTTGAAAAGTTGCATTTGTTACTCAGGTGGCCATGAAATTTGAAAAATTGCATCAAAATGATTCTGAAAAAGTAGTGAGAGTCACAAGCTACATGGCCAGATATGCAAATACTCAACAAATAATTGCTAAATATTGTTTCCCTTTTGCATTTAATTATAACAAAATATCTCATTGGTATTATTTGTAGATACTGTCTACAAATAATTGGTATTTGTAGATATTATGAGTCAGAACGGACTCCAGGGCACTTTACAACAACAAATCCTGCTTTAAACGTTAGCTTTATAAAGTTTTTTCAAAATTATTTTAGTATCACTTAATTTTATAATTCAGCTAAAATGAATAAACAAGACCATCTCACAATGTCTATAGTATACTTGCAATAAACATCTAGTTTTACTTATACTTAACTACGGAAATTCCAGGATTGACTTATTAATCTCAAGTATGTTGTTTGTTCTAAGTGCCGTCAAGTCCCTTCCAACTCATAGCAACCCCGTATAAGTTTTCCGATGAGCTGCTAGAGGATTTGAATCATCAACCTTTCGGTTAGCAGTCCAGTGCTTATCCTACAGGGCCACACCAGGACTCCTCAAATATATTCATTGACTAATAAAGCCATAGCTTCACATTTGCCTCCAGTTTCCAATCTTTTACTTATTCCTTTTATTATGCCTGAAACGACTACGTTGTTGTTAAGTACTAAGGAGTCCGGTCCGACTCATAGCGACCCTGCACAGCGTTTCCGAGGCTGTAAATCTTTACGGGAGCAGAATGCCTCATCTTTCTCCAGCGGAACCACTGGTAGTTTTGATGAAATGACTATACCTCTCATGAAATCCCTTAAGTTGTTGTTAAGTGTCATCAAATCAGTTTCAACTCATAGTGACATTGTACAGGGTTTCCAAGGAGTAGCTGGTGGGTTTGAACTGCTGACCCTGTGGTTAGCAGTCTAGCGCTTATGCTACAGCTCCACACTCACACTTTAGCATATAAATATTTCCAAGTTGCTGAAAATAACTTTAAAGTATTTGCTGAATGACAGAATGCAAGGGAGGGAGTTTGGAGGGCATCTATTTTAAGGAACAATTAACACACTGAAGTCCAAATACCTAACATTTAGAATGTTCTTCAAAGGTCATTTTGTTAGGAATTTGGTAAGTGGATAGACCTGAGTCTGGAATGCCATAAGAGGTTTGTAGACTCTTCCTAAGTTCTGGAATTGGATGTTGATATTTATAGAACACTAGGAATAACAATCAGATATGCAAAATAGGCAGAAGCAGCTTGAAATTCACCAAAAAGTTTGGGTAAATAGAAGGGAGGGGAGAATGACAGACTTGACTACTACCATTCTTAAATAGGCCGGTTAACTTTTTTTTTTTAATTCAAGTGTTTATTGTGAATTGAGTGATAGTTTACATGGGAGAACACTGGTTTTACACTCATCATTTCATTAAAATGATTACAATCTCCTCTTTACATCATCATTCAACAGTATTTGCTTCTATTCCCTCTGTTTTGTTGTGGGGTTTTTTTGTGTGTCGGGGGGAAGTGGGGGAATGTAAACAAAAACACTCAGGAATATATAATCATTTAAAAAGCTAAGAGGACATTCTGCAAGCTTGCCTCCTGGCTGCAAGCTGTCTACACAGCCTTTCTTTTTCCATGAGTCCAGAGTCCTCAGCTGCTCAATCTCTCCATGTCCCCATCTCTGCCTCCATCTCTGGTGTCATTGCTTCTCTGGATAGGGTCCCACATTCCACTAGTGCTTTTTGGGACCTTGATGGTCCTAGAGTCCTTTGTTTCTGGAATGTAAGATTAACTTACTCCCCCATTTTTGTTACAAAATTTCTACCTTCACAGTTGTAATAGTAACAATTGGTCATGATAACAATTACTCACTACTGAATCATAAGAATCTTATCCACATCTCCTTTCACCAAACCCATCTAGATACGATGAAAACTATTCAGTGGGGATCCTACCTTCCTGTGCACACTCAAACTAAACTCCCTCTTGAAAACTTGTAAGCCAGTCATTTTGTGCCTTTCTTGCCCATAAATTTTAGGTAGCCAATGTCTAAGTTGCCCATCCCTATCAACCCATATACAGAGGGGATAGGATTGATACTTGATGTGAAGACTCCTTCCCTCTCAGTTGGTGTTTTGAGCTACTACATCCATAAGTGTAAGTCAAGTTCATCTAATTGTAGCAATTTACACTTGTTTCCTTCATCAAAAATTGTTTATTTATCTTCCTCTAGTCGAGTTCTGATCATGAAGTCATCAAGGCTATGTCAAATGCATACTATCTATAAGTTTGGGTGTTCTTGTGCATCTCCCCTCACTTCCTATCAGCTGGGTGCTTCCCTCTTAGCTCTAGTCCTCCATGGCTATGTCCTTGTCCATGGGCTCAGGAGTCCTCACGTCTCACCACACTTTGGACCAATCAGCCTTTCCTCTTCTCGCTCTCATCTCCAGGTTGACAGGAGTCTATGCGACTTGGTCGAACCCAGCCCATATCTTTATTATTGTCTTTCTCCTGCTTCCACTCACCAGCAAACCAACGCAGTTGCCAGCAAGCTTACATGCCTGCTCATGTATTTTGTGAGTTTCAGTGAGAATGTCCCACCTCAGAAGGTTCTGGATGAGGTTCAGGGTATCACCTCAGGTCCTATACACAACAAAGGTTCCGCAAGAGGCCTATTTCACTGGGCAAGTTCTACAATCCCTTTTAGGTATTCCAATCAGTTATAGGCTGAGGACGGGCTTACAAGCATTCTGTAATTATGTTTCTCAATACTCCTTTCTATCCCAGTCAAGTGTCTATTTTACAATAGTAGGCAAGGGAAACCAATATTCACAAGACAGTCAAGCATCTTAGTATTATTTCCTCTCTTCAGACTATGCTTCGATCCCTGTATCACAGAGTTCTGTTGTTCCAAAGTTGAGCATGTATCACTGTTTATCTCTGTCCCATTTAGTCTATGCAAATCTGCCTTAGTGTTTCCCTATATACCTTGTTCTTGGCAGGTTAACTTTAAGGTCACCTGTTTGTCACCCTTTTACTGGTGTATCTTGCAAATTTTATACAAATCTCTTCTTTGTTTCTCTATTCAAAATTACTCAGCGTTGTCTCATTATCTTCAGGATGAAAGGTAAACTCTCTTACACTGCATATGAGACCTTTGATCTGATCTTCTATACATTTAACTTTATTATTAGTCCTGTTCCTTACTCCACACCAGATACTTTAGCCATATTATGTGATATTATTCAAATATGCCATGCTCTTTTTCTCACCTACACGCTTTTAGATTTAATAATGGACAAACAATCCCTTTTACCAACCTGTTGTTGTTGTTAAGTGCCATCGAGTCGGTTCCGACCCATAGCGACCCTGTACAGGGTTTCCGAGGGTGTAAATCTTTACAGGAGTAGAAAGCCTCATCTTTCTCCCGCGGAGCGGCTGGTAGTTTCGAACCACTGACCTTAAGGTTCGCAGCCTGATTCGTAACCACTACGCTACCAACCTGTTCTTACTTATAATTTCCATCATGTATCTGTTATTAGCAACAGCAGAGGGGGTAGCAGAATAGAGGTGGTGGCATGGAGGAACAGAGCAGCTGTGAACTTCTAGCCCCAAGGATGGACTAAAACCGAGTGTCTATGGGTAGGAGGCTGCCTTTCAGAATGTGCCGTTGGACAGTCACAGACTGGCTAAAGGAACTTTGTAACATTTATTAGGGAAGTGCACAGGGTACAACTCAGGATCAGAAACAACTCAGGATATAGCAGTTCTCTAGTCAGGCACGCCTCTTCTCTGCATTACTACAGGCATGCCACATGGCTGAGAGGCCGAAGACAAGAGTGAATTGTTCTTAACTGGAGAACTGCTGTGTCCTGAGTTTTTTAAATCCTGAATTGTACTCTGTTTACTCTCCTCAGAAATCCCATAATCCTGAGTATTGTTTTGAGTTCTGTGTGATCACTGCAAGGGATTATCGGACCTAAATGTTAGACAGAGAATGCTATGGGAGGGATGAATGGTGTCAGAATAGGGTAAGAAGATTGTAGAGTGGAGGCATGTCTGACCTCTGCTTTATAGTAATTGCCCTTGGGCTGATTTGGAGTTTGATTCTCCTTCCCCACTGTGAAGTCAGAGGAAGTCACATGGAACCCACAGTTTTTGTACTACCTGCTTTTCAATCTTGTATTTTCAGTTCCTAACATAAAGTCTTGGGTGAAAGATGACGCTCTGTGTTCCCAGAAAGATGTACAATCTTGGAAAGCCTACACAGAGTCGCTATGAGTTGTAACCTACTCAGTTGCATTTAACAACAACAATAACAATAATGTCTGAATGAATGGGAGACCTAGAAGCAAATTTGGTAAAAAAGTGCTTAAAAGGACATGCATTACCTTGAGTTTTTGTAATTCACCTTCAATGTCTATTTCCAAAGTGGGGTATATAGATTTGTATTGATTAGCCAGAACTTTGAACCTGAGAAGTAATTCAGAAAATCAAGACATGAATAATTTTGCTTAAAATGATCACTTGGAAAAAAATCATTGGGTTCAAATGACTTCTGCAGATGATAAATGGTCTTAATAACATGTTAATCCTTAAACTGAAATTACTTTCTGAGAAATGAAATCAGAATCAAAATTTAATGATTGAGATAAACCACCTGAAAAATGATAAATCCACATTTTTTTTTTTTACTTAACTTTGAAAATACTAACAATATAATTATAATTAAGGTGATAAGTATGAGTGAAATGTGATTCTAACTAAAAAGACGAAAATCTGAACTGCAGACAAACAAACAGCTAACTGAAAGATGGACATATCAGAATACAGCTTTCAGACCACTTGGTATAAAATGCAGCAAAGTAACTCCTCCTCATTATGTCACCATATGGCTTTCTGGTGATCACTAGGTTTCCTATGGAGACTTTTCCATAGGAATAAATCCAGTACCTGAAGTGAATTATTTCTGGGTGGATGGACATATGGGAAGTCTCTGGATATGAAAATCTAAGATCAACATATTAGAAAATGGTAACTCCATGGAAATACTGTGCCACACCCCAAGGACAACATCTCTGCTGTGCGCTGCCAGGACAACTCCGACTCACAGCGACCCTGTATGAGGTTTCTTAATTTACAGCCTCATCTTTCTCCCACACCGATATTCAAACTGCTGGCCTTGCGGTTAGCAGTCAGTCCAACATGTAACTCACTACACCACCAGGACTCCCTGGCAACATCTCAAGTTCTTAGCAAACCATTACAAATTCTAATCCTGTAATATAATTCCAGCTTTGTCTTCTTGGAGTACTGCTATTATAGCACCATCATTTATCATGAAGTGAATCTGAAATTAAGGACCAATTAGATATAATGTAACTTTAATAATTCAGACAAAAGAAAAAAGCCAAATACCATTAGTTACCTAAAATACTGATTTTTCCAACTGTACACGGTTTTAAAATTCTGAAAATCTATTATCCATTTCCATTTTGAAATACAAGTTAGTTACCTCTCAGAGAAGCCATCAAAATCAGAGACAAGATCACACATCCTAAGTCCACTTCGAGCAGCTTTGGAAGAATATACTGGACCAATGCCCTTTTTTGTGGTACCCAAACTTAAAAACAAATCAAAACAAATATTAAGACTGATAAGAAAGATGCAGTTTTTATAGTAACATCATCAAAGAATGAAGTGATATATTACTAGTTTGTGTTTATGCTACATCCACTAAAGAGGTTTTGCATTTATTAAAAGCAATTCTATTAAATTTCTCTGAGACCTAAAAAGGATACTCTAATATTTTTTCTTTTAAATGTACGGCCTCAAATTTAAAAGTAAGTCTAGATATGCTTAATCCTTACAAAATTAAAAAGAAAAGGCATACTTTTTTCCTGCTTGTTCTTGTCTTTGTTGTTCCTGGATACCATCAGCTGCTTGATGAAAATCAAATACTAAAGGGGAAAAGGAGAGAGTTAAGTTTATTGTTGAAACAAAGTGAAAGAGGAAAGCAAAATACAATGCATTTTAAATTACTGAAGTTATAAATCCTTTCAGTTTCATTCATGAAATGAATATATTTTTTTAAAGTGACAAAATACTGAGAAAGGTTATAATGCCAATGAATATTAAATAATGAAAATACGTCCAACTTATTTTAAGGAGGAATCATGAAGAACATCTTAACCCTAAAATTCTATAGATTCACAAAGATAACCACTTCCCTTCAGTTTTTGAATTCTAGAAATCTAGGGTTCGTTTTACTACTTCCTCCTTCTTCACTAGTCCTAAGCAACCATCATCTCTCACTAACATGGTAGCTTCTTTCCAGTCTTGGATCCCTCTAATCCAAACTCTTTAATTCAATGTAGCCAAATCACAAATATGATGACACTACATCCCTGGCCTTAAATGTGATGTCACCACTCCCATGTCCTTAAAACATGACTTTCCACTGTTTAAAAGAAAAAGATAAAACTCTGTAATATGGCTTCCCTTTCTATCATACATCATACTCTGCAACCCTTTCAGCTTCTAGACACATTAGCTTTCTTTCAATTTCTTGGTTACAATGCATATGCTGTTCCTTCTGCCTGGAATATGCCTCTTCCTGTGCATGCATACAAACACACATTCATTTATCTCCTTGCTCCTAGCAAGACTCCATGAGTACTAAGACCATGTCAGTTTCACTCACTAGTTTATTTCCTGTGCCCACAGCAATTACAAGTTCTCAAATATTTACTGACTACATAGTCTACACTCTGTGACACAGGGGGGTGCCCTGAGTCAAAACTGACTCGATGACAAGTGATTGGTTGGTTGGTTATGTAACACACAGAACCAGAAAATTTGGTATTTTTTGTTTGTTTTTAACACCTTTACAGAATATAATTTATGTACCACAAAATTCAGTTCTTTAAAGTGTACAATTCAATGGTTTTTAGCATATTTAACCCTGCTTTCTTTTTATTAATAATATTATTGCTTCCAAGTAAGATGAAATGCATAAATGTTAAACAAGATAGCTAATATATGCTCCTTAATCTAAACCAAAACTATTTTGAAGTGTTGAAGACTATGACTTTACTTTTTCTCCATAAAGCACACCCTGTAAATGTGTACACCCACATAACATGCATAGCATCCATAGAAGATTAATAAATGAGTTGGTTGCTCAGTTTGCAAAAAAACAGTATAACATGCACATAATTTGCATAAATAAAAATATGACACTGTAATTAAAGACGTCAAAATTAGAAAGGTTCAATAAAACATGGTATTAAAACTACCCTCTGATTAACCTGAGTCTCCTAAAGCTTTGTAAACTGTTTTTGTTAAGTGCCAACAAGTTGTTTCCGACTCATACTGACTGTATATAGGGGTTTCTGAGGAGAAGCTCATGGATTTGAACTGCTCATCTTGCAGCTAACAATCTAGTGCTTACTCTACAGCGTCATAATAAGACTGCTAAAACTTTGTAAGTACTCTTCCCCAATGTTACAACACTACTGAAACTTTGTCAGGGCAAGTTTAATAGTCATAGCTTTATATGATCCACAGACTTCACTAGTGGTTTTACTATGGGAATTTTACATGCATTAATTAGTTACACTACAGAAAGTAAAAGTTTATTGGCTAATTTAATACTAGTCTGTGAATTAGGATTTGTCTTAAGTGTCACAGAACTAAGTAGCAATGACATCCTTAATAAAATGAAAAAAGGCAAAATGTACACCAATAAACATAGACAAAAATGTTCAAAACAATATTATTTGTGATAGTTGAACATGGAAGTAACTCATATTTCTCTCAATGGTAGAACAGACAAACAAATTATGGTGTATCTACACACAGGAATACAGACGAAAAATAAATTCATTTAACACTGGCATTAACAGTGGATGGAAGACAGATACAGAAGAGAATATAATGTATGATGTATGATTTCATATAAAATTCAAAAACAGACCAATCTAATCTATGGCAAGAGAAGTAAGAACAGGAGCTAACTTTGGTGAAAGAGGAATGCATAATGACTAGAAAAGGTCATCAGTCTGCCTTTCCAGGGCACTATTTTTAATTACATGGGCAAATTATGTGTGCAATTTTTCTTTACACTGATACACTATGTGGTTTGTTTTTTTTTAATGTTTACTTTTGCTAACACATGAATCCTAGACTTCGGTCAATAAGTAGCTTTCATACTTACAGAGGTTAATTTATTATTGTGTTCTTCTTTCGGTGCCCAGTCAATAGTTTTCCTTAGCTACTTTTGAGGAACCAGAATCATTATTTCTTAGGAGCTTTTTCCCTTGAACCTTAATTTTGTAAATCAATTATGAGAAGACTGAGAACCTAGCCATTTCTTTTCAACAACAATAAGAAGCACATGCATTTATGTATTTGGGTTTTTTCTATTTTCAAAGACGTTATTGTGGCAAACCACAATAAATGGTTCATGGAAATCAGGTGGAATATACTTTTTCAGAAAATAATTCTGTGCCTTGTCACAGAACTGATCTGTTCTTAAAGGTTTTCCTATGACCCAGGAAGCTTGTTAATGTTTTTGTCAGGCGCCATCAATCAGTTCTGATTTCCAGCAACTCTATGCACAACAAAATGAAACACTGCTCAATCCTCACAATTTTTGTTACACTTACGCCCACTTCTGCTGCCACTGTGCCAATCCATCTGGTTGGGGTCCTCCTTCTTCTTTTTCACTGTCCATCTACTTTACCAAGCATAACGTCCTTTTGTGGGTTCGAAATGCCAACCATGTAGTTCAAATCAACTTTCAGGTCTAGTGCTTATCTTACAGTGCCACACCAGGATGGAAAATTATATACCACGTTGTTGTCAGGTGCCATCAAGTTGGTTTCGATTCATAGTGACCTTATGCACAACAGAATGAAACACTGCCTGCTACTGCACTTACCACACAATCGTTGTCACACTTGAGTCCACTGCTGCTGTCCCTGTGCCTCACTTTACCAAGCACGATGTCTTTCTCCAGTGGCTGGACCCTCCTGATACTATCTCTGAAGTATGACAGATGAAGTCTGGCCTGTTTGGCTTCTAAGAAGCATTCTGGTTGTACTTCCTCCAACACAGATTTGTTTGTTCTTCTGGAAGTTCATGGTACTTCTCCAACACCACAACTTAAATGTATCAATTTTCTGCAGTCTTCCATATTCATTGCCTCACATTTATAGGTGGTGGTGGTGGTTATGTGCCATGGAGTCAGTTCCGACCCATAGCGACCCTGTACAGGGTTTCCAAGGCTGTAAACCTTTACAGAAGCAGAAAGCCTCATCTTTCTCCTGCAGAACAGCTGGTAGTTTCGAACTGCTGACCTTGCGGTTCGCAGCCCGATTTATAATCACTATACTACCAGAGCTCCAACATTTATAAGAGGCTACTGAAAATACCATGGCATGGGTCAGGCACACCTTAGTCCTCAAACTGATATCCCTGCTCTTGAACACCTTAAAGAGATCTTGTGCAGCATGTTTACCTAATGCAATGTGTTTGATATCTTGATGCTGCTTCCAGGAGTGGTGGTGGTGAATCCAAGCAAAATGAAGTCTTTGACAACTTCAATCTTTTCTCTATTTATCATGTTAAGCGAATAGTGAGGATTTTTGTTTTCTTTACATTGAGGTGCAATCCATACTGAAGGCTGTGATCTTTGATCTTCATCAGTAAGTATTTTAAGTCCTCTTCACTTTCAGCAAGCCAAGTTGTATTACTTACAAATCACAGGTTAATGGGTCTTCTTCCAATCCTGATGCCACATTCTTCTTCAAATAATCCAGTTTCTAAGATTGAATTAAATATGGTGAAAAAATACAATCCTTGTGCACACTTTCCTGATTTTAAACCATTCAGTGTACCCTTGTTCTGATCAAACTGTTCCTTGGTGTACATACAGGTTCCACATGAGCACAAGTAAGTGTTCCAGAAGACTCATTCTCCGTAATGTATGTTCACAGCTTGTCATGATCCACACAATTGAAAGCCTTTGCATATTTAAAAAAAAAAGTAGAGGTAAACATCTTTCTAGTATTATCTTCTTTCAGCCAAAATCTATTGGACATCAGCAATGTTACCTCTTGTTTCACGTCCTAGTCTGAATCCGGCTTGAACCTCTGGCAGTTTCCTGTCAATATACTGCTGCAACCATTTTAAATGACCTTTAGCAAAATTTTACTAGCATGTAGATACTAGTGATATTGTCCAATAATTTCCACATTAATTTAGGAATGGACACAAATAAGGGTTTTTTTCCAATCAGTTGGCCAGGTAGCTGACTTTCAAATTTCTTGGCATAGATGAGTATCTTCAGTGCTGCTAAAGTTTGTTGTAAGATTTCTATTTATATTCTGTCTTGTTCTTTCCCACAGCCTTCAGTGCACTTTGGACTTCTTCTTTCAGTATCACTTGTTTTTGAGCATATACTACCTCTTGAAATGGTTGAACATTGAACAGTGACGCTGTATTACTTCCATCTTCTTTTGATGCTTTCTGCATGATTCAGTATTTTGCCCATAAAATCTTTCAGTACTGTAAGTTGAGGCTTGAATTTTTCCCTCAGTTCTTTCAGCTTGAGAAATGCTGAGTGTGTTCATCCGCTATGGGTTTCTCGCTTCAGGTTTTTGCAAATTGATTGTTAATCTTAAACACTGTTGTTGTTTTTAAGTGGTATCCAGCAGGTTCAGGCTAACAGAGATGCTATATAGGGTTTCCAAGGAGCATCTTGTAGGTTGGCAGTCCAGTGTTTATTCTAGAGCACCACAACAGGATCCCTATTTTTTTTTTATTTTAACATTAAGTACTAATTATTAGTAGTAATATTAAGAAAGCTCCATAGTAGTTATGAATCAGGCTACAAACCTCAGGGTCAGCAGTTCGAAACTACCAGCTGTCCCACTGGAGAAAGATGAGGTTTTCT